TAAGAGGTCAGGAGTTCTTTGATGTGGTGTCACCATCCTGCCTCCCTGGATTCCCCTCTGTGGCTGTGAGGAATGTCACCTTATATTCTGATGCCAATGTGGTACAGTGTGGTGAGTGGTACATTGTGTTGTCGGAATTCTTTTCATTTTACTTAGAAACGAGGTTCCCAGGAAATTCACTTTAAAGTCTTTTTAACTGAGTTTAGAAAATGGCTACCATTCCAATTTGCAAAAACCGGGTAATGAAAGCACTTTAACTAAAAACTGCCCTGTGCTCATTTAAGATCTCTAATCCCCTAGAAACAGTCATCACAAAGAACGAAGCAGCAATTTGTATTCCAGATAAAGTACTAAGTGGTTGTTGGAACTCACAAGGCCAGCTCATTTTCTTGTTTCTGGCCTCAGGGATGATCCTGGACACCAATGCTATCCAGAAGGAGTAACCATAACACTAAACAAAGATGCTACTGACCTTTCCCCCACTCCATTATCCATCCCCTGTGATTTCCCTGCCTCAGAGACTTTGTTCTAAACTCTAACCAAGTATACACCCTAAAAGGCCCTAATTAATCTTAAGCAACCTCATCTAATCACCTCCTAAGACACAGTAAGGGAAGCAAGCCTCCTGATTTCTTTTTCCTCCACTAATAAGTTGTGACTATTCAAGTGGTCAGAGGCCTTCCCCTTTGACCATGGATCAAAGGACTGGTAAAGAAGTCTCCCTACATATGGATTATAGAGGCTGGGGAAAAGATAGAGACAGGTCTTGGGTGAATGAGCATTTCACAGAATGTCTGAGTGAAAGAGTGAACAACAGAGTCCAGTCTGTGTATTGTACTTTGGGGACATTGTACTTTTCAGGCTTCAAGAGGGCCTGGTTGAGATGAATCTAAGGTGAGGCAGTAGAGCCAAAGAAGAGGGAGTCCACTGCTTATGAAAGTGCCATAATTAGTGGTATCTTAAGAGCACTGGTGTTTAAAGCATGAACAGTTAGAGGATGGGAGTAAAAGGACAAAGGTTATTTTAGTCCTCGGTTATCGGAAAGGTGTTGAGTAATGTAAATGGCAGTTGAAGATCAAGGGAAGAGATGGGTCTGACATATGTTGTGAAACTCAGTATAAAGTTTTGGTAACTGGCTGGGTGAATGGAGTTGGGTGAAGGGGAGGGAAGACTTTACATTCCAAGATTTCGAGTCCCAGTGACTATATTAAGTGTTGGCAGAAATTCAAGAGTACTTTATGTGGGGTGAGATCAACAGTGGACTTTGGAAATAAGTATTGCATTGTGTGTGCAGACCATCAGGTAGAAACTTCCCTAGGAAGGAGGAAACATGTATTTGGAACATAGGCAAGTCCGGGTGAGCTGGGTGTGGTAGCTCGCACATGTAATCCCAGTACTCATGAGTCTGAGGCAGAAGGATTGCCATGAGTTCCAGGCCAGCCTGGGATACATAGTGAGACCTTGTCTCAAGAAACAAAGAGAATAAGAAAAATGAAACTCTCAGAAGTATGCAGATTCATCAGCATTGTTGAGCACAAGGGAATGGAAAGTTCCAGAAAATAGTTGACTGGGCAAACCCTCAGAGAAGTCAAGAAGGGTGAAGTCATTTGGGTTTGTTCATTAGAAGGTTTTCAGGTTGGAAGTAACAACAGGAGGGTGTGAGGTAGACTCCTGGTAAGGGGTGAATAGGTCACAGGAGACGAACGTAGCAGGACTGCAAGAAAGAGAGAAGGCAGCCTTGTGAAGGGGGAAGACGGGAGGGCACGTGTGTGAACAGGATAAAGGATGGACAGAGAGGAGTCGATGAAGGCGCATGGACAATGCAGGACAGTAGCAGCAAAAGTTCCTTCAGTAGCTGAGGTTCTTGATGTTTTCTGACCCTATCATAGGACAGACCACAATGCATAGCACCACTGTGCCAGGCACTGCCCATCAGCAGTCTCCTTAGAGACCAGTGAAACAGAATGCTTGGACTTAATCCCTGTATTCCAAGGCAGAAAGAAGAACTTGCTTTTATCATGAACTGTGTTTGAAGAATAAAATGGCTTCTATGGGAAGAAAAGAAATTTTTATAATGAATTTTGATTGTAAAATATTAAGATTTTTTAAGACTTTTTTATTGGACTGCATGCATGTGTAGAAGGGCATTTTGATATTTTAGCTTTTAAAATCCCTAATAAATAATCAAGTTCATTTAAAGGCATGACATAACATGAATGCTATTTCATTTACTTTATATATTTGTAAACGTTTTCTACCAAAAAAAATAAATAAAAGGTAAAAAGGAAAAATATTGAGAAGGGCTCTTATTGAGTGATGACTGCTTTTGATTGCTGTTGGTCTAGGTATGAAAAATTTTAGCTTTTAAAATCCCTAATAAATAATCAAGTTCATTTAAAGGCATGACATAACATGAATGCTATTTCATTTACTTTATATATTTGTAAACGTTTTCTACCAAAAAAAATAAATAAAAGGTAAAAAGGAAAAATATTGAGAAGGGCTCTTATTGAGTGATGACTGCTTTTGATTGCTGTTGGTCTAGGTATGAAAACCCTTGTGAAAGATTTCGAGGTCTGTGCCACTGCCATGCCCTGTAAGGGGTGGAATGGGGGTATGTTGCACAGGAGGATGAAAAGAAGGCAAACATTTAAAGAGAAACTGAACATTGTCAGGGAAACTTTGTACATTCTTTTTTCTGTGGGGTGGACTTTTCTTACTTTTGTGGAGGGGCAGGGAGAGGTGTGTGTCTTGTGCATTCAGAAATGGCCCCTGGGGTCCCATTGCTCTCACATTTCTGTACAGTCCTCAGACAGGGAGAAAAGTACTGGAGGTTGTTAGCACATCTCCCTGTGGTGCTGAAACTGCGCTTGGCACCAGCAAGCACACTGCAGAGGGAATTTGTCTCTCCTCCATGTTCTGCTAACAACTATTCCCTAGTGCCCAGGCAAGAGTAAGTTCACTCTGTGCCTTTGCACTATGTTACATACTGTGTCCTGAACAGCTGGCTCATTAATGAAATTTAAAAGGAAAAGAGAACTGGCTGTTCACCATTACATGTAAGGTATTTATAATAAATCTTTCAATAAAGAGGTATAAAAAGTTCCTGTTTCTGTGCAGCCAAAGGAAGTGAAGCATTAGGCAGAACCCAGTGAGCCTCATTAGCAGCAGTAACCAATGCACAAGGTCCAGGGGGACGTGTTCCACATTTCTAATAACTTTATTTCTTTTTATCTGAAATATGCTGGTAATTTTCTCACTTGTGAAATTCAGTTTGCTAAAGATGAATAAATACACTCTTTCTTAATATTTAACTGAATCTCTTCCATGCTCTGGATGCTGCCTAAAAATAAGCCATCATTTATTACTCATTTTCTTTTGTTCACCCTATTTCTGAGATGATTGAATAGTAAAGTCAGTACAGAATGATTTATTTTCAAAAGAAGAAAATAATGTGACAGAAAACAGCACTTTCATAAATTCTGTATTATATATGAAATGCTGACTCTAAAATTCAGTACAATAGAGAACAGGTGATGTTGAATTAGAATGAGTTAAAAAAAAAAAATCCCAGCATGGTGGTGGTGAAGGACTTGGGGCTACGGAGATCACTTAGTAGGTAAATGCTTGCTACACAAGCAGGAAGACCTGAGTTGAAATCACCAGAACCCACATAAAAAAATCTAGATGTGGTTATGTGCATTTAGGTAACCCCAACACAGGATTGCTGGGACTTGCTGGCCACTAGCCAACTCCAAGTTCAATAACAGACCTTGTATCAATGTCTTGTCTCTGAGTACACTTCTAGGCGCATGTACCCCCTCCATACATACACATTTGCTTATATCCCAAACACACAAACACACACACACACACACCCCAAAAAAATTAAAATTCAAAACTCTTAAAAGACAAAACAAACACAGGATAGAAAGCAGTGACACAATGAAAGATGCCTGTGGAAGACCACTTTCACCTAAAAATAATTATCACTGAAATATTTTCTATATAGTTAGAAACGTCCCTATTGAAAGTCTTGGTCACTTGTTCTTTATAAAAAGATAATCTCAATGGCTAGAAGGTTCCTACCCTTTTGTTCTTTAAGACGTAGGACATAGGCAGTTCCAGCCCATTGAAAGTTTTTTTATATTTTATTTATTATTTTTATTTTATGTGTATGAGTGTTATTCCTGCATGTAGGTAAGTGCACCCGTGTGGTGCAATGCCCGTGGAGAACAGAAGAGGCTGTTGGATCCCCTAGTTCCAGCCCATTGAAAGCATAAATTCAAAAAGAGGATGATATGGCTAACCTGGGTTGACCCCATCAAAGTTTTAACTGCTCTGTCGAGAAGTCATTGTTACTGGTTCAAATCTGTACAGTCGTACGACAAACATTACATACATTTACTTTTAAATTTTTATCATTTCTTTTTTTGAAAAGCACAAAATAGAGGAATGGTTTTAGTTCTGCATTTAAGTGCCTGTCCCAGACTGCTGAGGTAAATGCAATGCTCTTACACCCTTTTAGGTTTCAACGGTATGAATAAAGCAGATAAGTATCCTAGAAGGGGCGTTGCAGCCTCCTCCAGCTTGAATCTATGAGACCCTCTGGCAGCCATCTTTGCTTTTCCAAAGGTTTGACTTTATTTCCCCCAGAATAGCTTCCCCGAAATGAATACTAGATCAAGAGCTATGAATATTTTAAAGCTCTGATTTCTAAGCATATTTCTCAACAGCTTTCCAAAGGTTACTTATTAATTTACTTTACACTAGCAATATGTGAGAATTATAGTATTGCCCTGGTCTTAATGAGTTTCTAATAAGTCTGCATTACTTTTAGTTATGTTTATTTCTTTCCCAGAAGGCTTGAAAGTTTGTGCAAGTATTTATTTATAACGTATGTACAAACGTGGTTCTTATTTGGTGTTGCCTTATCAGTAGGCTTGGTTTTCCCAGTTCCAGTCTCATCTGTGGTGTTTCTCTTTTATTGTTTTGCCCAGGATCCCATGATTCATTCAGTTACTGGGTCGATGAAAAGTCCCCAGTGGGGCCTGACCAAACCCCAGCTGTTAAACGCCTTGCCCGGATTTCCTTGGTGAAGAAGTTAATGAAGAAATGGTCTGTGACTCAGAACCTGACCTTCCGGGAGCAGCTGGAGGCTGGGATCCGCTACTTTGACCTTCGTGTGTCTTCAAAACCAGGCGACACTGACCAGGAGATCTACTTCATCCACGGGCTCTTTGGCATCAAAGTTTGGGATGGGTTGATGGAGATTGATGCCTTCCTCACTCAGCACCCTCAAGAGATTGTCTTCCTGGATTTCAACCACTTCTATGCCATGGATGAGGCCCATCACAAATGCCTGGTTCTGAGGATCCAGGAGGCCTTTGGAAACAAGCTGTGCCCAGCCTGCAGTGTGGAAAGTATGACACTGCGAAGCCTGTGGGAGAAGAAGTGCCAGGTAAGGGGGAGGAAGGATGAGTTTTTGAAGATAAGAACTTAACTCTCTGCTTTTCCTAGGTTGGCAACTGTAAAATAGCTCACTCCAAGGCTCTAACACTGGGGTAGATTGTTTAGAACACTGAGCACCTGTATACTAGTTCCTGAGCTCTGGGATAACTACAAGTATTTACTGGTCCTGATGGAAAAGGGATTAATGCCTGCCAAACACTTAAGAGTTTGTCTGCAATCTGTTTGACATCTAAATTTACTGTGAAGTCAGTACAGCCCAAAACAAAGTTGTAAAATAAGCCAGTTTGTTATAATACCATTCTGTCTCCCCTAAGGTCTCTTTAATACCCCTCCAGAACCCTCTACCCCTTGGTGAAAAAGAGCTTCCAAACCTAGGCCTATGAGGAACATGCTCAGTAAAAGGGAATATAGCCCTCAAATATATTTCATTCTCATCCCAAGGCAGTAGCACAAGAGCAACAGGAGAAAGGGCAACTTCCAATTTATACTCTCTTCAAGAAAAAGAAAATGTATACTTTCATTCAAAGTTGTTCACAGCCCATTAAGTGCATTAAGCAAAATACCTTTTTTTTTTGCCCTGCAGCATTGGAGATTGAACCCAGGTCCTTACGCATGCTAAGCAGGTAGCTGTACAACTGAGCCACATCCTCAGCCCTAAGTAATAAAACATCTTAAAGAAATATTTGTGGGGGAGACTAGAGACATGGCTCAGTGGTTAAAAGTTTTCTCTACAATTATGAGGACAGGAGTTTGGATCTCATTTCACAAGCTGTATATCCCACAAACACTTGTAACCCCAACTCCAAGGCAGACGTGGAGACAGGAGAATTGCTGGGGTTTTCTGGCTTCCAGCTTAGCCAAGAAAACACATGTCCCAGATTCAGGGAGAGACCCTGCTTCAAAGGAATGGATGTCGAATTATAGAGGGGAACACTTGATGTCTTCTGGTCTTTGTGTGCAGACAGGCCCATACACCTTACCTCCCCCACATGAACATACATTCATGCACATCAGTCAATCAAAAAAAATTTAAAGCAATATTTTTGAACTCAGAGGAACTTTTCATTGAAAATAATTTCAAGACTATTTGTAAATATCTGCTGAGCACCAGGTATAAGTGATATTTTGTCAAATATTATCACATCTCTCACAAGTTTGATTCTGTTCAGACGCACAAGTCCATTTTTTGTTTGTTTGGGTTTTTTGTTGTTTTGTTTTTTGCTTTTGAGAGTCTCACTATGTAGCCCAAGCTTTCCTGAGACTCATGAAACAACAACTCAATCTCATTTAACCATCAGTGTGTGCTGAATTAACTAATCTGATACTCTATGAGACAGGAACTTTGTTATCATGCCCATTTTACAATGGGGCAACTGAGGAACTGAGAGATTGAAACAACTTGCCCAGGAAGCACTGTGGTGAATGGCATGAGGCAGGGTTCCCTCCCCACTGTGTCCAGTATCCCCCTATCACCACATCCTGCTGATCTCTGAGGACCTACCATAAGCCTTGATGATTTTCACAAAGGCTGTCTTGTGTTATACAAATAAAACACTTTCTTTTCATTAAGAACCTCTATTCTAAAAGGGTCTCAGACTATTCCTGTTGAGAAAAAGGGACAGCTCTTGACTATGGGGATTAGGTACGGCTAAATATGAGTTCAGGCAAAAATTCATAATTTCATTCACAGATTATGGTATTCCAGATGGTTGACAGGTTGCATTCTAAACTGACTAGAAATCCCCATATAAGGAGTGTGGACAGTGAGATAGATTCCAGCGGCACAGTGATCTTAGTTTTTAAGAATGAACTAATCTGGGGACTAAAGAGATGGCTCAGTCAATTAAGTGCCTGCCATACAAGCATGAGGATCTATGTTCAGATCTCCAGAACCCACTTAAAAAACCAAGCACAGTGGCTCATGCCTGTAACCCAGTGTTGGGGGAGGGTGAAGACAGGTAGATTCCTTGAACCTCATTGGCCAGTCAGTGTAGCCAAATAGATGAGATTCAGGTTCACTGAAAAACTTTGTCTCAAAAAGTAAAGTTGGAGGACTGAGTGGATGGTTCAGCAGGTGAAAGCACTTGCTGCTAAGCCTGACAACATGAGTTTGATCCTTGGAACCCACATGGTAGAAGGGAACTGAATCCTGTAAGTTATCCTTTGACCTTTACATTTGCACCATGACATGCTTGTACCCACCCACAGAGAGAGAGAGAGAGAGAGAGAGAGAGAGAGAGAGAGAGAGAGAGAGAAAGCTAGCAAGGAGAGACATCCACCCTTTTCTCTACACAAAGGAAAGACATCCAACCTTTAGTCTCTACACACATACACACATGCAGACTAGTGCATGTGTACCCACATACATGCATATACCCACACTCACAAGTATAGCCAGCATAAAACACACATGTGCAAGAGTGATCTAATTTAACTGCATTATCCATTACAAATACTTCTATACTTATGAGGGGAAGAGCTGAAGGTATATCAGAAAAAGGGAAAGTGTCCCTAACTTAAATTCTATGACCTTCCCTGATCCTTTCTTCCCTGTTTGTCCTACAATATCTCTTCTTAAAAGCTGAAACAAGAGCTCTCCAAAAGAGCTACCAGTCATCTGCCCCATGCTGGGGCTGTGTCACACTGGCAGTCAAGCTTTAAATATTCATTGTGTAATGAGCTGCCTTGCACATGACCCCTTGAGTGTTTTCTTACAGGAATTTAATATCAGGATGTGTCCTACTGCTCAGTCACATTTCATTTACTGAATTTGCAATTACATCACAGCTCATGAATATATGAAAACTGAATACTTACATGAATACGAATATATATATATACATACACACACACATATATATATGCTGGCAGATACAGGCTTTAAAGGCACAATGAATTGGGAGATTTGGTCTACAGTTCAGAAGTATTTGGGATCTTAATGAGAAGGTAAGAAATAGATGTCTAGTGAAATACAAAACAATCAAGCTGGGCATGGTGCATATCTATAATCTCAGCACTTGGGAGGTGGAGGCGAGAGGATTGCTGTGAGTTCAAGGTCAGCCTGTACTACATAGCAAGAACTATCTCAGTATTCCAAAATAATGACAGCAAGATGGTTCAGTGGGTAAAAGCACTTGCCCACTGTGCAAATCTAGTGACCCGAGTTTGATCCCCTGAACCCATGGTAGAAGGAGAAGCAACTCCTGAAAGTTAACTCCTGATCTCTACATGCATGCCATAATATGAGCATGCCTGCACATACACACTAATAATAAATATGAATAAAAATTTTAAATACAAAATAAAAATAAAATATAAATCCATCAATATGCAATTACATAAGATGGTGTCCAGTGTTCTATATAATATGAAGAAAGGGCTTTTGTAACACAATTGTTGAAATGTAGAACATGCCATATATCTGCATCCAGAGGCTCCTAGGAAAGGAACCATCACAAGAGGTGATGGGTGGGAAGAGACAGAGATGAAACCCACAAGTCCCATGAGAGTGCGGGTACCTGTGTTCTGTTTCCCAAGAATAGGTGTGCCTGCCTGCCAGACTCCCATTGTCAGCAGAGCTGCTCCTGTAACCTTCAGCACAGACTGGCCAAGAAAGTCCTGGGGAAAGGCAGAAAGCCCCTCCTGTATAATCCAGATTCCTTATACCTTTTTGACGCACAGTAAAGTTGAGTACCTGTTGTCTCCTGCCCTAATGTACTGCCCTGGATACCATCTACCAGGCCTGCCAGAGGGCTGCACAGCATCCCCCACCCTTCATCCCGCAGAGGAGCTCTCCCTAAAGGCTTCAGTCTTCCAAATTAGCTAGTTACAGTGCCAGGAGGAAATCCTTGGATCTCCCAGGCAATCTGCTTACAGTCAGCCCATGATGAACCTCATTAACACACGTGTTTACCACAGACATCATCAGCATCAGCATTACTCAGAACCATTAAGAGCCAGGAGGACAGCTATTAGCCTGTTTGCTGCTGCCTGTCTGCCACTCCTTGGCTCAGAGCCTTCAGGAACGGCCAGTCGCCTTGTCATCAGCCGAACACACTGGAAAGAAAGGAGGCGAGGAGGGCATGTGGATCCCCTGCTCTTGAGTGCCTGGGGGATTATGCTCTGAAGATTGCAGTCCACAATATAAACATGGGTTGGGCATTCCTTTGAGAAGAGCTCACTGGTGCCCCCCAGGGGAAAAATACAATCCTTCTAGAAACCCACACAGCAGAGCTCCAAATTGGGACAATTAAAATAGCAATTCCCTGTCCCACAGCTGCCTCCCAAAAACTAATTAATGTTGTGGATGTAGCTTGCTAATTATTTTCAAAATTACCACCACCTCAAGAGCTCCCATTGGAGGCCCATGGCCTCTGTGAAGTCTTTCTTGACGCTAGTGGCATGCTCCCTTGATCTCCTGGGGAAGGGTAATTTCATTCGGAGTCAGTGCACACATGAAAATCTGTTTACTCACAAATTAGTTCACAGTGTTTATCGGAACAATAAGAGCTTAGCGTCAATTTCATGAACACAGAAAACACAATTCCTAGACCATTATGAGTGTTTTCAGCCTAAGATCCAGAGACTTCCTGGGGAATATGCGGATGGAATTTAAAAACACTGCATCTGGTTGCTCAAACAAACTAAAAACTACATATTCACTTTTGCTTACCTTTAACCGAAGAGTAACATGCCCATCAGTTACAAGTACCTGCAATAACATCCCGGCTGGCAGGGTTGGCCCTGCCTGTCTGTTATCCTTGTTATCCTGTCTGTTATCTACGTTTCATTCACTACAGGTGTCTTAAAACATCAGAAATATATGCTCATCATTAACTCTAACTCACCGTTATGGAGCATGTTAGGCTCATTCAAAAACAGTTTTGTTTTATGCACTTATCATGAGGCCTATGCATTAATTTATTATAATTGTATTTGTTATATGATGGATATATTTCCATATCATCGATTTCCTTTATAATCTTGTCTGGTTTTTGCATTTATTTAAAGCACAATTGTGAGGAAGGTGGTCTGTGGCTTTACCTTATTTCTGAAAATGTTCATAACCAAAAAAATTGTAATAATCAGACACAATAAGTGCTTAGTAAATCTTGGTTTATGTATTTTTAAAATAATATATAGGGAACTGGAGAGATGACTCAGAGGTTAAGAGTACCGGCTGCTCTTGCAGAGGACCCAGGTTCGGGTCCCTGCACCCACATGACAGCTAATAACTGTCCATAACTCCATTCCAGGGGATCCAAGTCCTTCCTCTTCTGACCTCCTCAGGCATTGCACATGGGTATGTTGGGGAACCCTGCTGCTAGGGTTGTAGTCCTCCATGTCTGGATAGCTCTAAGGGGCCAGGCTATATGGAAGGACCCCCTTCTCAGCAGGGGGCCTCCGGCTCTCTGCCTGACTTACCTGGAAAGTGCCACCAAGCACAGATGCCTGACCTTATTTGGAACATGACCTTTGGCATAGTTGCCTGGAGTAAAAACTGCCCCCAGGTTTTTTCTATATGATAATCAGGCATTGCCCAATAGTTGGATGATAGGAGCCTACTACCACATGTAAATAAAGCATACTATGAGCACCTATCAGCTGAGGCATTGGCTACTGCCTCCACACTGTATTTTCCCTAACCCCCACTGAATAAATGGAGCTGTTTCACTGAGTCTGGAGCTGTTTGTATCACTGAACCTGCCTCCCCAGAAGGGCTTTCTTCCGTCAGTGCTCACTGGCTGTCCTGACCCCATTCATTGCTTCTGCTCCCTTTGTCCTCGGGGACTGGTGGCCAATGACCCATGAGGGGAGGGAGAGACCCCACATGGGTACACATTCATACACAACATTAAAAATAATAAAACATTTTTTTAAATAATAATAGGAAGCTGGGTGTGGTGGTGCACATCTTTAATCCCAGCACTTGGAAGGCAGAAAAAAAGTGGATCTCTGTGAGATTGAGACCAGTCTGGTCTACATAGCAAGTTCTAGGTCAGCTGGGCCAACTGACCCTGTCTCAAAAAAACCCCAATAATAATAGCGATAATAATAATATATATGACTAAGTAGATAGGGCACATGTTATCAAGCCTGATGACCTGAGTTAAATCCCTGAGTGGAAGGAGGAACCAACTCCTGAAATTAGTCCTCTGACCTCCACAAGTGCTCTGCAGCATGCGTGTGCCCCCTCACCCCATCACAAAATAAATCATTATAATAAAAAGCAAAATATCATCTATGCAAAACACAACGCTCACCTCAATGAGAATAAGAAATAGTCTATTCTTGAGCAACATAGGAAAGGCCATGGCCTGGGAACATAGTTTCTGGTTGCCTGGAATACATGTTTCACTGTGGAAATGGCCATATGAAATTTCATTAGTCACAGAACTAAAGAAAGTCGTGCGTCAAGGTATTTACCAAGTGAATTGATAAATGCAGGCTAAAGGAAAACAGTGGAAATTACTAGGGGTTTCTGATGTTATCTGATGACATCTTTAACTTTGGAAGCTAAAGTGGCCTGCTAAAAATGCATTTCAAAGGTTTTAAACTGGTCATCAAAAGGATGTTAAGTCAGACACAAGAGTGGGAAATAAATGCGTGTTAACAGGAACTGGGCTAGCCCAAGGTAACTCGGTTCTGGACCCTCAACACTCTAAGTCTCCACAATCACGAAATTCTGATCTGTCATTCAGTCTTGTAGACTCTTCCACAGAGGTGTGGCTTTCTCCTCAGTTTAATGAGCAGTTCTGTTATTTCCACGTGGATTTGTCCTCTTATCCTCCCTCATTCAAGTGTTTTTGTTGTTCAGCTTTTGAACAAGTTGCTTTCCTTTTTCTACTTTGAACATTTCAGGTTCTCATTTTCTACCACTGTCCCTTCTACAAGCAATACCCCTTCCTGTGGCCAGGGAAGAAAATTCCAGCACCCTGGGCAAACACCACAAGTGTGAACAAATTGATCCCCTTCCTGGAGACCACCCTGAGTGAGCGAGCCCCTCGTGGGACCTTTCATGTCTCCCAGGCCATCCTCACCCCCAGAGTGAAGACCATCGCTAGAGGCCTGGTGGGTGGCCTCAAGAACACACTAGTTCACAGGTAAGAGGTCCTTCCACCTCACAGGTAGGGATCATGTTGTTGCTTTGTTGTTATTGTTGTTTGTTTGGCTGGTTGGTTGATTGGTTTCTTGAGACAGGCCATGTTGGCCTTGAATTCAGTCTTCCTGCCTTTGCCTCCCTAGTGTTGGATTAAAATCATGCATACCTAGTACCCCAGGGAAGTTTAAAAACAAACACTTCTCTTGGGCTGGGGAGATAGTTCAGTCAGTAAAATGCTTATCTTGCAACCATAAAGACCCGAGTGTAATCTCCAGAATCCACATAAAACAATCTGGGCATGGTGATGCCCCCTTGTAATTGCAGAATCCCAACACTGGAGAAGCAGAGACAGATGGATCCCTGAAGCTCACTGTCTGGCCAACCTAGCCTGATGGACAAGTTCCAGGACAGTGAGGGACCCTGTCTCAAACAAGATAAATGGCCCCTGAAGAATAGCAGCCAAGGTCATCCTCTGGCCTCCACACATACATGCACACACTTGCACAAAGACCTGCACCTGAACACCAATAACACACACACGGGGCTGGAGAGATGGCTCAGAGGTTAAGAGCACTGGCTGCTCTTATAGAGGACCCCCAGCACCCACATGGCAGTTAACAACCTCTGTGACTCCAGTTCCAAGGAATCTGACACCCTCTTCTGACCTCTGCCAGCAGTGTATGACATGGGTGTACTTATATACATGCAGGCAATACACTCATACACATAAAATAAAAATAAATAAAAAATATTTTTAAAAAGAACACACGCATGCATGCCCCCATACTCATTTATCTTCTTTTTGAATACACAGCTGAAAAACTCTGTAATTTGAAATTTTTAAAAATTACTTATGAAAACCTTTTATTTTGAAAAGCTGTGGATTCAAGGGGGGTTATTTGAATAGTGGTCAAAGGATCCTGAAACACTGTGTTAAAACGTTCGTATCATTCCATACAAACTACATTACACTATGGCAAAACACTCTGAGTCAATGTCACTGTTTTCGTCTGCCACACAAGCCCATGGTTCCTGCCCTTACCCATGTAGCTGGCTAAGGTACTCACTGTTTGAAAAGCATTAAATACAGGCTTCTGTGCTCTGTGCTTGGAATTCAGAGATGGTCCTTCAGGAATTTGTTCTTTCTTCTGTGGTGGCCATGGGTCATAAGTACCATGGCACAGCCTCAAATGCTTCCCTGGGGTAGGGTTAGACCTGATATATAGTTAGGTAGGGATGTTGTAGTCATTTTTTATAAGATAATGTTCTTTATCTTGGGCACCAATGAATGATTTTGGATAAAAGAGCTCAAGAAAGATGATATATTGCATGTACAGCTGTGTGTGTGTGTATGTGTGTGTGTGTGTATGTGTGTGTGTGTGTCTGTGGGGGGATTATGCATGTGTACATGTATATGTCTATGTATATAAATACATTTGGTAGTAGGCTACTCTTTACAGTGCAAACCAAGGAAACTAATGAATTTAAGTTAAAAAATAAAAAAAGAGAGAGATTTATAAGAATCAGTCTGGTTCCTGAGTTCTGGGTAGTAATTACAATTCAGATAGTGAAAGTTTTTTTCAGTCACATGCCCCTGTTTATTTGGTTGTGAATTTGGAGAACACAAGTTCAGGTAACAGCAATTCACCTAAGGAGGAGTTTAAAAAACAAGAAGCAACTGTACTTTTCTTCCTTGATGTTAACTCCTGATAATGTCAGACATGAACAGAGCCAGAAACTCCTCTCTGTGGGGCTTTCCTGAATTAGTTGTACTCAACTTGAAACAATTTCATGGGCTGGGCATAGTGGTATACACCTTGTTGTAAGCTGTAGTGGCTATGGATCAGAGGTAGTTTGGCTACCCTGTAGCTGCCGGGTCCAATCTTTTTGATAAGTATGCCACCAAATTCTTCCAGGGGCCTAAAACTTGGGTAAGAACTTCTGTGGCTATACCTGGGACTTCATGTATGAACAGGTGGAAGGGCTTAGTTACACCTGGCAATGCTAAGGCTGGGGCTTGAGTTAAGGCTATCTTGAGCTGGTCAAATGCCGCATCCTCTGGTTCTCCCCAAATCAGGTCACTTCCTTGGTCCCTGGTGGCTGCATACAGAGGCTTGGCAATTTCAGGGAAACCCAGTATCCACAGGCGGGAGTAGCCAGCGGCACCCAGAAATTCTCTAATTTGTCTCCTACTCTTGGGCTTTCGTATATTTAATATAGCCTGGATCCTGTCAGGCCCCAAGGAATGCTTTCCTTCGTGGATCTCGTAGCCCAAATAGGTAACAGAATCCAGACAGAGTTGAGCCTTTTTGGTGGATGCTTTGTAGCCCAGAGTGTCTAGTTCCCTCAACAGGTTTTCAGTTGCCTGAATACAAGTCTCCTCCGACTCTGCAGCCATAAGTCATCCACGTACTGTAACAGAGTGATTTCAGGGCTGGCTTCCCTGAAAGGAACTAAATTTCTTCTGAGGGCCTCAGCAAACAGCGTAGGGGAATTTTTAAACCCTTGAGGCAGTCTAGTCCATGTCAATTGTCCATTATAGGAACCATCTGGGTCAGCCCATTCAAAGGCAAAAATAAGCTGGCTTTCCTTGGCTACTGGCAAAGCAAAGAAGGCATCCTTTAGATCTAAGACAGTGTAGACTTGACAGTCTGGTGAAAATTCACTGAGGAGAGTATAAGGGTTGGGGACAATTGGATGTATGGTCTCAACCCTCTTATTGACTTCCCTGAGATCTTGGACAGGCCTGAATTCAGAGGTTCCAGGTTTCGGAACAGGAAGCAGAGGAGTAGGCCATGAGGACTGGCAAGGCACCAAAATTCCTGCTTCCCTTTGGCAATTGATATGTTTGACAACCACCAGACGAGCTTGGTGACTGATGGGGTATTGCCTAACCCTGGTTGGGGTGGCAGTGCTAGTCAATTGGATAATTATTGGCACTTGATATTTTGCCAGCCCTGGCAGGTTGGTCTCAGCCCAAACAGTAAGAATTTGCTTTTTCCACTTGTCTAGAGTGGTGAGTCTTGTTCACCAGGATTTTCATATAACATACTCTTCAGACACAGGGCAAGTCACCAAAACGGTGGGTGATTGGAAATCCAGATTAATAATGTCTCCAGTGAAGGAGATGTGGGCCTTTAGTTTATGTAACAGGTCCCATCCAAAGAAAGGGTACGGGCAATCAGGTATAAGATGAAACGATTGAGTTACAGTTCATCGTGCCAAATCAGTAACTCTTGCCCGAGTTTGGGGATACCCTGGGTCTTCTTCCCTGTTGCTCCCTGGATAGAGATCGTGTCCTTGATCATAGGTCCAGTAGGTTTTTTCAAAACTGAATAGGTAGCCTCTATATCTACCAAGGATTTGGTATCCTTCCCTTCTACTTTAAGAGTCACCATAGGCTCCAGGGGATTTAAGGAAAAGCCTTGGCCCCATCATTGCTCAGCGGCAGGCAAAACAGGAGCTGGCTTCCTCTGTTTAAGAGGACATTAATTTTTCCAATGGCCTTTCTCTTTACAGTAAGCACATTGGTTCTTTTCCAACTTGCCTCTCTCACTCACCCCTTTAAGCTGGCTGTCATCACCTTGTTGGGGTTGAGGTTGGGGGGGTGGCTTTCCCCAGGCTGCCACCAGAATTTTTTCAATTTTTTTTCCTTGTTCCTTTTGCTGGGCTATCTCAACCATGGTAGACCTTCTGGGCAATTTCTACCAGTTCAGAGATCAGCTTTCCCTCAAACCCTTCTAACTTTTGGAGATTTCTCCGTATGCCTGGGGCTGACTGAGAAATGAAAGCCATATTAATGGTTTCTCAGTTCTCAGGTGCCTCTTGATCAATAGGAGAGTAGAAGCTATAGGCATTATAAAGCCTTTCCAGAAAAGCGGCAGGTGACTCATCTGGCTCTTGAAGGGTATCACTCACCTTGGTGAGGTTGGTGGGTTTTCTAGCTGCCACCAGTAATCCCTGCAACAGAGTCTGGCGATACTGAAGCAAGTGCTCCCTACCTTGATCGGTGTTGGGGTCCCAACAGGGAGAGGTAGAAGGGAACACATCCTCAATTCTGTCAGCATTCTGAGTGGGCAGCCCATCAGGTCCCAAAACAGAGTGGACTGCCTCTCGGAGGCCTCTGGTCTGCTACTCTGAAGTCAACAGGATCTGTAAAAGCTGATGACAATCTTCCCAGGTGGGTAGATGAGTGGTAAAGATTGAACTGAGAAGGTCTATGAGCTCCTGGGGGTTTTCAGAGAATGGGGGATTCTGGCTTTTCCAGTTGTAAAGGACAGTGGTGGAAAAAGGGGTGTAGACCAGGATTGAGCGACCTGGTCCCTGCTCAGACTCCCGACCAGGTGGGGCGGGGGGGGGTGCAACCTCTCAGAGAGGCAAAACAGGGACAAGGGCAGGGGCAGGGGAAGGAGCAGAGGGGAGGATCCCTCAGCATAAGGGACTCCCAAACAGGTATGGGGTGGACTCAACAAAGGATTTGGGTCAGGCTCAGGCCAAGGATGTACATATGGTTGTGGCCTGAGTATGTCGTCCTCAGGGTTCTGGTCCTGAAGGACAGGGTAAATTTTCTTAGGGGGTTGGGTAACCAGGAAGACTCCCTTTTCTGGTGTCCAAGTGGTCTTACACTCCTTCAGACACTTGTTTATCCCCAGAGATGGGTTCTCCAGGAGGTCCACCCACATAGCTATGTAGGGGATCTGATCCAGGTGAAAATAAAAGACAACCCTGCAACAGTGTAAGCAAGATCAAGGTTAAAAGTTCCCTCCGGCAGCCACTCTGTTCTGGAAAATGAAGGCCACTCAAGTTCACAGAGAGTCCAGAGTTTTGGGGCTCTGAGGCGAAAGCCCATTCCATTCCCTCTTTTCCCAAAATCAGAGAAATTAGTTAACGTACATATGTTTGAGGACAGAGATTAGCCCATGACAGAGGTTAGATGGAAGGCCACAGCAACAATAAAGACTGAGGGATGAAGGAGACAAATCCAAACACTGACTTTATCAA